CAGTAAGGGATGTTTGGATAAACTCCACTTGGGGAGGATGGAGACCCTGTTTCTGTGCATTTTTCCTGGCGCGATTTATCATATCCTAGTTGGTGATCAGTAGGAGTTGAGACCTGAATCTGTATAACTGATTTACTGTCGAAATATCGAGACCAATGACCCTTCCTGTTTTTCCGGCTTTCGCAGCGGCGAGGAAAACATCGATGCCCCCACCACTTCCCAAATCGAGGACAGTCTCTCCCTATACAAAATAGTCAACTTATTCTTGAGGTAGCAGGTGCCGTTAGCTGTTACCTCCTTGATACTAGCGGCTGCGACCGGGTTTCCACAACCTAGACCCATGTGAGATTCAGAAGGAATTGCTTGAAGCTGGGCAGGAGTGTATCCAAAAGCTTGAGCAACATTCTTGGAGTCTGTAAATCAGATTAGTGTAATAATATGGTACCAATTTTGATGGTTATTGTACAGGTTTCACTTGTGGCGATCCTCGCCTTGGCACTGTATGCATCATTGACGACTTGAACGAGTTCTTGATCCGTGAGTGTGCTTGCCGACTGCATGGTAATGTATATACTAGGTAACGAAGATTGTCTCAGTGTTTGGTCGCGCGAGCGCTGAGGTGTAACGTAACAATAGTATGCGGGAGAGTGACGGGAATGATAGACCAAGATTTATATTCTCAATGTTAGCAACGGCATTCCGTTGAGCTTAAGGCATGCATAACGCCAAGTTGACATTGCGTGAGATATGCCTTACGTAGAAGATCGATGGGTAGCGGCTTTAAGCGCTGGGAGGAAGCCCCTATTTTGGAAGATGCTATACAACGTCCAGGGGACTTCTTCCGGGAGCCGGACAGATCAAAAATTTACTGATACGATGACAAATCATGGAGCGCAAATGTTACTACCTTCTGCGGCTTGCGTAGGAGTCAATAGAGGGAGCTTGTCGGGAGCGTCGCCGATAGTGTCAGAGGCTTGTCCGCAATGATCGCGCATTCGGAAAGTTGTGATAAAATATTAGGAAGGAATGATTTACAATGAACCAATTCCTCGACCGGAAGATCTTCGTCACCACATGTGACGGGAATCCCGTCTGTGGAGATGTCTATCCTCTCTGTGTTAACCAATGTTGTGTCACCACTCTCAAAAGAGCAATCGGCCTGACATGGCACATCGGAGGCAATAGACGCGGCTATTGGGAGCGTCGCCGATGGTGTCACAGGCATGTCTGCAATGATTGCGCATTCGGAAAGTTATGATAAAAATATTAGGAAGGAATAATGTACAACGACCCAATGCCTCGACTGAAGATCATTATATCACTGCATGTGATGGGAATACCGTATATAGAGATGTCTACCCCCTCCTCGTTAACCAATGTCGTGTTACCACTGTCAAAAGAGTTATCGGCCTGACTTGACAAGTCGTGACGAGCCGAGATACTTGGTAAGCACATCGCTGGTGGAGCTGTAGGCAGGGGGAGGGGAGTGAGACCGACAACGTGATGTCCAAAAGTAATATCATTTTAAAGTAAGTATACGATAAAGATGATTAACGATGCTGCACGAACCTGGAACCACATCACCGGATCTTCCATTGTGCTGAACGTCTGCCTCTTGCACGGCGCCGTTCATATCCGCCGCATGGGCTCCGTTCGTGGCATCCGAGGAGATTGCTGGGTTGACCTGTGTGTCACCGCTGCGGCCATTCGCAACGGGTGCACCACTACTCACGACCGGAACACCCAAATCGGCAGCATTGAGTGTTGCTACTGCGCAGTAGGAGGCTTCGCGTGTTCGTTCTCTGACCCCAACCCTAACTGCACCGATGTGGTGAAGGCAAGTAATGGGAGGATGAAGTGGACATGATTATGGTTATCCAGGACGGATGAAGCGATGACAGCGAAAGCTATCCGTTTAAATACTAGTCTTGCAAGACGGCGCAGGAAGAAGTGAACAATGACAATGAGTACCATGAACGCAATCACGCAACACAAAAATATAGGAAATGCGCTGCGAAACGCCAAAACAGGGCTGGATTGATATAGAATCAATCATCAAACATCAAGTATACGTGACTGCCTAAAACCTCACCGTCTCTTGAGCTCGAAACAGAAAGTCCCCTCGATGTGTTTTACCAACACAGTTGGGAACTGGGTGACGAGTAAGCTCCTCTTTCCTGCGTAATCGTCGAGCACAATCATTGTAGGGTCAATACTGTTGGAATATGTGGTTTGGAACCCATAGAAGTCCTTATCCATGGCTTTGGTTCTGTCCACCATGTCAGTCACCTCTGGTGACCAGAATAAAATATGCTTGCGAACAATGTAACACGTGATGGACGGGTAACCGGCTATAGTATTACCGGCAGTTAGGTATATAATACGTTCCTTGAGCGTTTGCGATGAGTTCCCGTGTACCCAACTCGAGCCAAACGTGCTCCGAACCGTGAAAAATCAACAGGAACGACATCTGTGATCATGGTGGACATACTTTCACCAATGCTGGGAGTCAGGGACTCTATGAGAGTGATTAAGGCCACTCCCAGCATATACCATTTGCTGATTATGCCGCCATGGTCGCGATGCGGACCATGAGGGGTTTGATGGAACTTAAAGGATCTATCAATTTGTGGAGGAGGTGAGGTGGTTTGTATGATAGATTTACTGGGGGGTGATAATGGTTTAGAGTAGTTCTGAGATGATGCAGAATACGGCTGCACCTGTATCATGGTGACCCAATAGAAGTTATTCTGCCTGACTTTTGATTGTTTATCTCCTTGGCGGCCTTAGTGCCAGGCCACGCAATTTTGATCATACTACATTCATACACTGGTTCATCATGTTGTTATCTGCATACAGTCACAGGGTTAACTATCGGAGATATTGCCCTGTTCGGTGCAACCTGTCATAATGAAAGCTCGGATTAATAATTCAGGAGTGTAGATATAATGTGGTGAGAAATAGTTTTTGACATATAGTCATATCTGATTTAACCCACCTCATAGCCCATCATATGAATACCCTTTATTTTTGGGACGGCAAGCAGCGTCAATTCTACTGGACGCATACAATTTTCCACGATTATTTGCCAGGCAATTCAAGTTCAAATGGTGTCGTCGCTCTATAAATCCGTGATCCAAGGCCCACTTGTCACACGGCCGCATCCACATTTATAATCGCCCAATACCTAAGTAATCCATCCACTGCATACCATCTTGTCTTAACAGATGCCTTGGAACATATCGTGACCGCCACTTGCTGTGCACGTACTCTGTCGCAGGATGAACTCCGTGCAATTAGAGCGTACTTTGAATTTTGGATACAACCGTGCTTCCCTCACTCAGTAAGCCAAATATAGCAAATCGAATAAATGGAGACTCTGTACCGGTGGGGTCCGGGTTTTCAGGCGTTGCTATCAGCAAGATCCGTGGATTCAGAGTACTTCTGGAATATTCCTGGATATTTTGCTTGGTAATTTAAGTGTCGACATTGCTTCCTTAACGTGTAACGGCGGTAATGGAGAAGATAAATGTTCTCTCTCCCAGGATATAGCGGCATTGGAAGCTTTTGATGATCCGAAGATATTCACGATTCACATCAATCATATCAATGCTGCCAATTTGCACACAGTTTCTTTCTTACGGCATGTTCTCTACACGGCTTTCGACATTTACCCGCTGACTACGATCTTAGGGTTCTTTTGAAGCAATTCCACCCTGACCTTTGCCTAATGTCGCAGCGCGACCGCTTATTTCAACTTACCCTATGGTCGATAGCCTCGTCACCAGATTTGGCATATTCTTGCACTCTGGCGTGAGCGGAAATTCTATAGACACTCGCCCGTGCTCTCGAACATTACGATTTTTTTGGATAATTTGGAGACGCATTGCTTAATCACTGAGGGATATCGAGATTTGATCCCTCATGCTATCTCTTTGTTATCCTTGATTGCCACGCCATTCGCTGGACTATACGGAATAACCAATTCCAACTACATATCAGTACTTAATGAATGTCAAAGACACCAGTTCACCAATTTTTAGGAAGGTTTCCCGTGGATCAGGTATGCGATTCTAGTACGAGATATTTCCAACGAAAATCGATTTAATACCAACAAATCACAGACACGAGAACTCGCTTCACAAGTATATTCAAGGATGACAATGTTCCCGAGTATTCTTGAAGCTCTTTAGCGGGGTATATATTAACGAGAAAGGTGCACATAGTGGTGTTTTCTAAATAAAAAAAAGACTTCGCCACGTGATATCTAAGGTTAACACCTTCCTTGGTCCCGCCTCGGTCTCAAAAGCATTCCTCAGCGGGGTCGACACACAAGGTAATGAGATCGACCCACCCCTGTTCTTTATTGCCAGTCAGAACCAAGATAATATGTCAAAGTCTAGTACCGCTAGCTCAAATATCATCCACCAGTCGTCCCGGCGAGATGCAGAGGATATGGATGACCGGGAAAATATTTATGACAGGCAGCCTAGTGATCGTCGGCGGTGGCAGTGGTAAAGCAAGAAGCCAGACACAGTCGGCGTTTTCGAAGATGTTGGATCCTGCAGCCCTGCTTGTTACATACGCAACTTAATGACCATTATAATATTATTGATCCCACTACGTAGGTTCGTGATGGTACGATTATATTGCCTTTTATCTCTATTCTGTCCACATGAAACACGATAAACGTTGGTACGATTGAATATGACACCCGCCGGAAGCACTGATGGACGAGACCAACGACCCAGAATCGGGACATTCTTGTTCACAACTCTTTAATGTAGCTTTTTGTTACAGACAGGTTATATTTCAGACTAGCTGTATTGTGGTGCTTGTCGACAGGAGCCCAGGGGGAATTTTTGATGGGAGGATTCAGAACCCATGTCATGTCAGTTTTTGACTTCTCTCTTCTTCTGCACGCAATCATTTTTTGTTGAAGTATGTCATCCAATATTATCAATGTGCGATATAGCGAAGAAAAAGGTTAAGGTTCATCGGGCCGAATAGCTCAGTTGGTTAGAGCGTCGAGCTAATATGAGCTTATTACTCGAAGGTCTTGGGTTCGACCCCCACTTTGGCCAGATTCTTTTGTCACAATGTGTGAAGCCCCTAGTTATGCTGCAACCAACCTCTTTCTTTCTCCGTATTACTTCACTCTCTTTTTGGCTTTCGTCGAGGGGTTTCGGAAATGGCTTGCCATTAGAACGACACTAGAAAACATACTCATGCCCTCATTCACTTAAGATAGTGCGCGGGGATGAATGACGTGGCCTAAATTCCATTTAAGCCACCACGGTAGTACTACTTCGCACCTCACTCATAAGCAGGAACGCGATAGTAGCGGGGCGCTGGCTAAGACAAAGGAATAACGACGCATCAACACACACCGCACATACCTCAAGCTGTACGGCAAATTGCGTACATCACTTTGGTTATATTTCTCACATGTAATCTACTTATTTATACATACAAGGTTACAACACTATAGTAGCAATAAAAATATTGCTGATATGATGAAAGGGGCCTCGAACAATATATGCAAGGTATCACGGGAGGGAGATGGTAACTACTCTCATTTGTAAGAGATGACTTACAAATATGATATATGGAATTTGGGAGTACGGGAATAACGGTTGGAAAGGTCTAGAAAGGAGGCGACAGGTTTTCAGCTTCATGCTCCTAAGACACCCACAGTTTTAAACATACCCCTTGACGAACAAGGGAACCATACCATACTATGAGTAATGACCCAAAGTATGAATAATAAAAAGATATTGTCTATTAAGGTATATCTTCTGTCGATGTAATGCAATAACAACGTCACATTTAGGTTCCTGACGAGTCAATCACTTCCCGTGATTTGGGCTGTAAAGCGTCTTGGAATTGTGCTGATGACTCGGGAGCTCGGTGCCCCAGATTATTTTTAGAGATTCTATGCAATTGGTTTTTTCCATGCCGCACATCTGACAAGTTGGCAAAGACTGATTACAATGTTATCGACTTGTCGCGCCCACTGATGTGGCTGAAAGGGACATAAAATAAAACACACACTTCGGTTTGACAAGTCTGAATTATGAAAGCCACGAGGAGTTCATGATGCCATCTCAACTGAGATTCCTCACACATGGTTCTGCTGAAGTAGAGCATAATGAACTCAATGCAGCGCTCGTGTGAGCGAGAAATGAATAGGAGGACGGCGAAAGCAGGTGCCGTTGGCAACAGTTGGTGGTACAGCTATGATATCATTATCCAAGTCGGCTAATCTTCGCATAAATAAGGCTAGATCGTCAATAATATCCGAGGCCATAGACTCGAAGTGAGCGCCATCATCAAACCCGAGATATTGCTATCAGACTCAACTGAGCCCTCGGAGAAGATCCATACGATGGGAGAATACAGAGTGGCTTTCATCGAATTGTGCGGCCTCTTAGTACGGTTCACGAAAAGGAGTACGAAAAGCTTCCTAAGCTCTGGGCTACGGGTATCATCCAAGTTGGGGACTAGGGAATGGATTATTTGAAGGAAAAGGTAGAAGAACTGTAAAAACTTCTTCATAAGTCACATCGTTTTGATCCGGAAGGTCCCGGAAGACGTCCACCCATCCTATTGGACGTCGTTTCGAGTTTGCAGCTTCGAAAGAAGGACACAGCATTTCACTGATGTTGATATCTCCGATTCCGTTCGATTCCCCTTTTGGCTGCAAATTGGAAGGTTTCATGATGGATATAAAGACTACAGGGAGTTCAGCTCTCAGTCCCACCAATTAGTGAACCTTCTCTCATACATAGTGGCAGTAGAATGTCACTGTATCCTTCTCTGCCGGACCGCATCACACCTCTCCCCCAATCGCTTTTCAGCGAAACATATGGTATGTACCGAACCCATGGACCTACCTGAGATTGAACTGATGGCTATTGGCAGGCGGGTCTTTGGTCAGTTGCATGGTTATGCTCCCGTTGTATGGGGTGTCTGTGCTACAGGTATGGCGAATCGATGACTACTACTTATTTCAATGTTCATAGTGAATGTCGTTACCTCAGACGTACATGTACTTTTCGAACTATGAGAACGATCCATTTCTCCTTAAACTATTGGTGAGCAGAATAGATCCTTGCATATTATTGCGCCTGAATATACGCATAGGTCTTTGTCGTGTGGTAGGTTAAGTCAATTTGTGATTCCTTCAGAACGCTGCCTTACGCTAGTCAGGGTCATGGAAACTCTTCATGCCGTATTCGGTAAGTATCATCATCCATTTGACCTGTGTACACCTTTGAACTCACAAAGCAACACAGTATGCCGCACTGTATATCACTACACTGTGCGTATGCGTCATCGGAGATCCTCCGATAGATGCTGAAATTTTAATATTATAGATCCTCAGCTACAGTAATCCATTGCTGGTGATGAGCGGTGTATGGTGCGTATCTATAATCTTATACTTTTCGGGGTCGATACGCCAGGAGACTGATTAATCCCAGGTCGCTTTATGTCCGTTTGGTCTAATCCTTTATGAGTCATCATTTATCCTGATCTTCGGTGCCATGTCTCAGGTATCAAGCAGCTGTGGAGTAAGCCATTCCACCCATCATGACATAACAGATATCTACAATTCAGAAAACGCTTTCAGCTTATCCTTTGCTCCCTGATACAAATGTAAGTGCTATCCAATACGTCACATACAGGTGCTGTTCCCAACGTTAATAGTTTAATGCAGATTTTTCTCGAAAATGATATATCACAGTAAGTCAAGGGTCGCGACATACGATTGGTAGGACCATTGTTAAGCTATTTTTCTGACAGTGACCAAAAATAAATGGAGATACATAATTATCGCTATTTTTGTGCGCTTTTCTTATAGATCACACTGTATATGTTCCGGCTGATCAGAGCTCTAGGGTGTTGCAATCACCGTACAGCTCGGTCAGACAACTTTGCCTGACGCCGATCATATGATTACTGAACCCACCCTTTTAAACAGCGTTTATAACCCGTATGTGTTTCGCTTTTTAGCTCATGGTTCCCTGAAACCATTGTTTAAGACATTTGTCCTCAGTGCTCTGCGTGAAAATGTGGGAGGAATCCTGATATCTGTGTCTTTTTGCCACTCACTTCCTTATTACAGGTTTCAATTCTGGAAAACGCCTAGCAAATTACGGGACATGGTGGTAAGATTAATAGCTTTTGACTTATTATTATGGATTATTGACCGTCTTGCAGTATGTGATGATGGTTCCTTTGTTTACGTCCAGAGTGGTGGCAGATTGTTGCACAACGGTCACTCTTTGCATAGTACTGTATCGTACGCGCCCGCGTTTTAAGAGGTATGTTCGTTATTCTCGACCAGTTAATCAATATATCGACGTTTTTTAAGCTCGATTAGGCTGGTTAGCACGCTTATCATCTTCTCAATAAATAGATTCATCTTGACCACGTAAGTAACACACGAATTGGCGTTCGTTTATTACTAAACATTGCTGATACATCCCTTACAACCTATCAGGATCGTTGTCATCGTCCAAACAATTATAGTGAGCATTCCCATAGCGCATGCATCTCATTTAGACATTCTGATATCCACCTAAATATAGCTGTTGGCTCAGCCTGATACAATATGGGCCATGACCATTGAATTCGTCACTGTACATCGTGCGTTGCGATTCATTCGGCGCGCTACGGGGCTAATATGCGCATATGATTGCAGTTTATGTCAATAGTTTTCTTGCCAGTTTGAATGCTCGAAACCACCTGCGCAAAATTGATACCCCAGGCGAACACATCTCTGGCACTCCGCAGAACATTGGGAAGGACGCAATCGGGAGCCGCACAATCAATATCACAGGGGCCTCCGAGAGTAGTCTTGTCGCAGTGCACACTGTCGATCTTTCTAGGTCTAGCCACCCTGAACTAGAAGCGAAACCGCAATTTGAAGCCTGAACATTGACTAAATGGCGCCGAAATTAACGGGAGTTGTCCACTCTCTTCAGTGAGTTGGGTACGGGATAAATCTTGATTACGTCACTGCAATACGGCTCAGCAGGTGTGGATCACTTGTAGAATATTCCCAATCAGGTGTAGTGACGGCATGTAAAATAAGTCAGATTTATTCCCCAATACTGATAACCGACATCCCCTTAATCTTTCTATCTTGGTATTTATATATACATATGTTAGATTTTTGGGCAAAGTGAGCAGTCGGAGTCGTATAGTGACTGGGGTCATTATTATCCACATTCATTACCGTTCTTGTTCTGAGTATATAATCCTGTAGTTACACATGAGAACCCCCTGTGTGTTTATAACCAACAATATCACTCAGACAATATTGCACTTGTCCTCTATAAGATCTGGTCATATTTTTGCTGAAAAGTTAACAACATATTGTATTAAAAATAGTATGAGTTGGCTTATTGTAAATGCACAAACCACAATGGTTTAATAAGCTTGTAATGAAGTACTTGTATCAATCAATGTGTCAGTCAGTGAATCACCTTCTGACATGATGGGGTTTGGTGATACTTTAGGTGTACATCGGTTAAATCATGCATCAGCCTCACTGAGCATGGTCCACAATATGTACTTTCAAGTATTTGGTTGAAGGAGAAGGGTAAACCACCCCTAGAGAGGTGGATGTTTCATCACCATTTCCAACATATTGTCCAGGCTGATCAGTAACAAGAACCATTTAGTAAGAATAACTCAAAGGAGAACAACAGTAGTGTACCTACATGACCTTCAAAGGCTGACAAGACACCCTTTATGCAGTCCAAAGATGGGCTAGGTAGATTTAGAAATGGAATTATTAAATCAATAGATCCTCTTGTAGGTCTATTGACTGCAGTCTACAAATGATTGATTCTGGTACCAGGAGAACCCTCGACTCACAACATCATTCCAAAATTGATGGCACTAAGGTTTGGAGCTCATCAGTCATGCATCCTACATTCTCACCAAAGTCAGCACCATTCCTCCTCCCCAGTCCATCTCTTCACCAATGATGGTAGGCTGGATGTAGGTTAAATTTTTAAGTGTTTTTTTTTGTTACAATATACACAAGCTATTTAGTACAAGATAAAGACAA